GAATCCTTCTCAATGGCATCCATCTTGGCTGAGCAATGTGTGCACCACCAGGAGGGACCCTGAGTCAGAATAATTGGCCAGAGACAACCTGGAAATTCATTCCATCTCCATAAAACCCGAGACTGCGAGCCACGTGGCCGAGCAGTTCTCCTGGGTTCTCTTACCCTCTTGTTCTCCGCCCAGGTGCCCCTTCTCAATAAAGTCTCTTGCTTGGTCAGCTTGTGCGTCTCCTCAGAGAATTAATTTCTGAGTGTTAGACAAGAGCCCTGGAAAGGGTCCCCCTTCCTGCAACAGTTCTTCAGCAATCTGTTGAAGACAAAAGATACTACCTTCAAAAAAGCAAAAATAGCTTTTTAAAAAAATAAATTAATTTTTATTTTTGGCTTCTCTGGATCTTTGTTGCTGTGTGCAGGCTTTCTCTAGTTGCAGCAAGTGCAGGCTACTCTCTAGTTGTGGCATATGGGCTTCTCATTGTGGTGAGAAGTGTGTTGCGGAGTGTGGACTCTAGGTGCCTAGGCTTCAGTAATTGTGACTTGTGGGCTCTAGAGCTTGGGCTCAGTAGTTGTGGCACACAGGCTTAGTTGCCCCCTGGCGTGTGGAATCTTCCTGGACTGGAGATTGAACCTGTGTCCTCTGCATTGGCAGGTGGATTCTCAATCACTGGACCACCAAGGAAGTCCTAAACTAGCTTTTTATTTAAACTAAATCCTGCAGTAATCAAGAGAGAGAGTCCTGCCTTTCATATTTAGGTTTTGAAGTTCTAAAGGTTTCCATATTTAAACACATTAAATGGGAAAGAAGAAAGGCTGGACTGTGTAATTGTGGCAGTGAGAATTGGCATGGGAGGGGGTGGGGGTGGGGGGTGAGGTGGGAGGGGTTGATATGAGCCCCACCCTATTCTCAGTGCCATCATTATACAGTTGTAACATGTGAAAAGAAGATTCAAAGTTTCATACCACGTGAAAGGCTCCATTCTATATTGAAGGAAGAACCAAACTGTGGTTCCAGATTAGATATGGGAACAGAGAAGGATTCAAGCTTGATCACTTGAATGGTGGATAACATTCACCCTGGGCAAGTTGAGGGCTTTAAACACAATGTTTTCTCACTTGCACACTTACTGCTTTTTCAGGTAATACCATTAGAGTCAGAGTATTTCCTTTAATAAGATGAACTTCCTCTGTCTCAGCAGTGCTTACAATGACAAGTTTTTTAGGATAAAAATGCTATCTCTGAAAGCACCATGATAGATTGTCCAGTGCAGATGGGCCTCTTAACATTTTTGTTATGGAAAAAAGTTCATGAATTTGTGTAAAGCTGATCACTATTAACCTATAGATTACCTTCAAAGTTCAGCACTGAGAAAGGTGTTGATAAATTGCTTGCAAAGGTTTAGGTATATATATGGAAAAATATAGGTACTATCCACAGTTGCTTGTATTTAAATAATGTAAATTGGGAAAATTTGATTTTCTTAAGCTTCTGAAGTCACTTGTTATTAATAAATCTTGTGAATTTTTGTAAAAGTCAAGAAAAATTGCTTTCTCTTGCTTTTTAAGTCAATGTTCCATTAATTTACAAATTCAACAAATTAAATTCTCCTAAATAAAACTAGTTTACTGAGTTTCCTGAGACATTTCAAAGTACTGTTACAAGTTTAGTTCCATAGCATCAAATCTAAGATGCCATCGATTGTGAGATGCACCATTATTTCATGTAGTTTCATGAAAGGAAAAATACTGCCAATACTGTCTCATCACATTGCTTTTAAGTCACACTCAGGTTGCAGATTTGTTAAAATGAGAAAAAAAGAAGTGTGGTCTTGGTATTGATTATTGCATATCTGAATATCTCAAATAGTACAAATGCAGGGCAATTTACTTGTTAGGTTTCAAACAAAAATCTTTCTAAGCAGTTAAGCAACTCTTGTAAATCTATACACATTAAATTAATATGCATGCTATGGCTTGAATATTTGTTACCCCTCTCCCCTCACCAAGTAATTCATATGTTGAAATCCTAACCCCCAAGGTGAAGGTATTTGGAGGTTGGCTTTTAGGGGTGATTAGGTTATGAAGGCAGAACCCTCATGAATGAGATTAGTGCCCTTGTAAACGGGGGTGGTGGGGGGTGGTGGGCAAGAGTCTCCCCTTACCCCTTCTATCTGGAAGGACTCAGCAAAAGGTTGGCTATTTACAAACCAGGAAGTGGTCTCTCACTGGACCACCTAATTTGCTGGCACCTTGATCTTGAACTTCCTGATCTACAGATCTTTGAGAAATAAGTGTCCGTTGTTTATAAGCTACCCAGTCTATGCTATTTTTGTTATAGTAACTTGAATAGATTAAATACAGACTTCTAAATGTAGTGTATCTCAAGTGTTTAAATACTGTTTATAAAAGTAAACAAATTGTTACACTTTCTAAAATAAGTAAAAAAAGACAGATGGAAAATTTCAGTAACTCATACTGCTAATATGTCAGTTTCTGTAATATGTCAGATTCTCTTAAACATTTCAAAGACCTTAAATGCAAATACAGCAAGATTTGCTTGATGTTTATAAAACTTATTCCTAAACTTAACACAAAAGAATTAACAATGGGTTTGTTTACTTAACATTTTTTTTTTCAATTCATTCATTTCAAGGCATTCAAATTCAATGCCTTCTTAGTATTTTCAAATCACTTACCCAGTGAGCATGATTAACCCCTCCTTTGGGCTGTGGTTCTGGTTCTCAAACACCCACACTGTATTATAAATTATATCAGTGGTTCTCAAATTTTTGGTGTCAGGACCTTCTTATATTCTTAAAATTTATTGAGAACCCCAAATGGATTTTGTTTATGTGGTTATTGCTATCAGTATTCACTATAATGTAAATTAAATGTGAGAAATTTTATTTTATTTTATTTTATTTTTTTTTTTGGAATCAGAATCTGTTTTTATATGCCTAGAGTTATAAACATTTGTATCAAAATATTTACAATTATAGTATATGAAATATCAATCTATTAAAGAAGAAGCCAAATACAGTACTAGAACAACCCACCAATGTAATGCAAATTACATGAGACATAAATGGCACAGAAACAAAGTAAAAGGCCAGGGAATACATGGTTCACTCCAGTCATAGTTTAACTTTTTAACACAATGCTAGTGTCTCTTTTGGATATATCTGGTATGCAAGACTGCCTCTGAACTCTAGACAGCCTTCTATAGTCATATGATCACTAAATCACAATGAAAAAGTTCATCATCCCACAGTTTTTTGCTTTCCAACCCATTTACCCCTAGTCCAGATAATTTGGTGGCCCACCCTCCACATTCCCCTAACCAGAATGAACATAAAGAAATAAACTTAGTAATAATCCTTTTATATAAATACCAGCAATTGTGGCATAACAGCTCCCCAAAAGGAAAACTATATAAGAAATGGAATGAAGGGGGAGCTAGAAGAAGAAAAGTAGGCAAGATGTCTCAGATTCTCCCTAGGGTAGGTCTTCTCAAATTGATAAAGGAAGTGTCTTCAACCAAAACAAATAAACCCTTTAGCCAGAATCTGAGATGGCTTAAAAATAGCTGCGCCAGGCCAGAGCAATGACTGCTTAACCAGGATTACCATACTAATACCATACTTCTAAGTACTACAAAGAAACACTCTTGTGGCAACAGAGAAGCTCAATGACCATCGGACTGGGCACCACAAGAGTTTTAGGGGTTTTTGCTTTTCCCTTAAAATATCTGCCCATCACCTATATTTTTATTTCTCTCACAGAAATTTTCTTATTTTCCTGGAAGTACAGACACTCTGTTCTTACTGTGACTGAAATCTAGTATGCTTAATACTTGACAACTGTATAGCACCTTTCACCCAAGGATGTGTGGTTTGGTTTGCATGTGTTTTAAGAAGCTTCCAAAATGCCTTGCCTCATCCGTATTGTGGGACAGGCAGGACTTCCGAAAGGCGACCCCTTCAGCTCATTTCAAAGCTAGAGCCATCTCTGAGCCCAGGAGCCCTGATCCCCAACTTGGCTAAATAGATAAAACTTCCTCAAAAGGGTATAATTTAGGGGGAGAGTAACAGATTGAGTTGCAAGGATCTATATCCATCTCTCTCACATCTTATACTTAAATATTGATTGCTCAGAGAGAGGTTCTTAATAACATAACCCTAGTATAATCCTGCTGTAGGACTGCCCCCTTTTCCCATAATTTGCGTGGTGCTCCCACCGCTGAATTAGTTGTTAGTGGCTTTACAGAAATTCCAGAGTGCTGCCGTGGCTTTAAGCAAGAGACCAAGCAAAGTCCGTGGCAAGAGGTCTCCACAAGGGACAGCTCTGTGAGGCCTGGTCTGGGTTCTGACCACACCCCAGGCTTTCCACTGTGAAAATTTCTTTCTCAGTTTAGCTAAGCCACCAACTTGGCCTTAATCACTATGTCTCGTCTTCCCATTTTGTCACAAATACCACAGAGTTAACTCTCTGCTTAACAAAGAGGGATCGTGGCACAGTGGCCAAAGTCCTCCCTCGAGCCCTTCACATGGTGATGTTTTGCTTTGGGTCTGAGAGGCGGGATGGCTTCCAGGCTGGGCTTATTCCAATATCTGCCCTGGCCGAAACTTGTACCGCTGCGTTAACTGGGTGCAGTAGGTCTGAAGACTGAATTCACCCTCGGAAGTGGAGCCAGTGATGCGGCAGCTGCTGGGGCCCCAGGCAGTGTGTGTAACGGAGAACAGCTGGAGGCCAAGCCCCGTGGCCGGAGGGAGGCCCCCTGGCCCACATCCAGGGAGCACCCGTCCCCGGCAACGGCTTTCTCCCAGGGCAGGGGCTGGGCAGTACAGGACCCCCTCCATCATGTTTGGGTTTCAGCCCCTCCCCCTTCCGTCCCCTCCCCCCCCCTTCCCTCTCCTGGTTTTTCCTGCTTAGCAACTTCCACTCCCCTCCCAGATTCAAGGGCTCCCTCCTCCCCACCCCCCAGGTCCCCAGTAAATGTGTTCAGCCTTATTTCTTTCTCAGGACCAGATAAAGGATGCCGATGATGAAGCTGAAGCAGAAGCAGATCCAGGTCAGGATGAAGGAATAGCCGTGGTGACTCTCCACATACTGGTTTTTAGAGCTGCTGGCATAGTGATGAGTGTAGATGGAGGCCCCCACCATGACGCACAGCCAGCACACCAGCATGGTGGCCCCGGAGAGGAAGAAGCGGTTGCCTTTCTCCATGGTGAAGAGCTGGAACACGAAGACCACAAGGGAGATGACGGAGAATATGATAGACAGGATCGTGAAGGCCTGCACGGCCTTGAGGGCATCTTCACCCGCGTAGGAAAGGTTGTCAGCACAGCCACCAATGGTACAGTTTTTCCAGAGACCTACTGATCCCGCTCCTGAATCCGACACCACCCAGACGTTGGCAATGGTAGAAACAAATAACATGATGACGGTGGCAATGTGAACCACAAAGATACTCGCCAGTAACACCAACATCTTGGCTTTTCGATGGCTTGAGGGTGAAGAGAGCTCTGAGGGTCCGGTGACCAACCGAGGCGCCCTGACTGTCTGCAGCTGGTGGCAGGTGTCCGCTGTCCTGGAGGTTTGTGATCACAGTCGAGAAATTTTAAAAAGTTATAGATTCACTTAAAAGCAACAATAATAAACCCATTACATGTTAATGTAAATAACACAGTTTTTATGGGAAAAACTATTTTTTCCAAAGCATAAAACAAATTTTAAAAAATATTTATTTTTGGCTGTGCTGGGTGTTTGTTGCTGCACACGGGCTTTCTCTAGTTGTGGTGAGGGGGACTACTCCCTAGTTGTGGTGCACAGGTTTCTCATTGGCTTCTCTTGTTGCAGATCATGGGTTCGAGGGTGTACAGGCTTCATTACTTGTGGAATCTTCTTGGACCAGAGATCCAACCTGTGTCCTCTACCTTGGCAGGCGAATTCTTAACTGCTGGACCACCAGGGAGGTCCAAACAATTCTTTAAAAAATTCGAGGGACTTCTTTGGAGGTCCAGTGGCTAAGACTCCGCACTTGGAATTCAAGAGACATGCGTTCAGTCCCACGTGCTACATGGGGATATGCCAAAGAAATATAGTGAGAAAAGTGAGAAGAAGAAATATAGTGAGAAGGCATCGCTTTACATTTTTGTAAATCTTTTAAGTGCCTGCCTTAATTAAGGGAAGTTGGATTCTCATATCTTTTTCTGCAGTGATATCACAGGTCATGTATCTTCTGGAATACTTCACTGGATACTAATAAGACAGGAAAGGCGAGAACTTATTAGTTTCATTATAAAGGTAGTTTTGACCTTAAATCCTCCTGAAAGTATCTCAGACAGCCCTGGACCACACTTTGAGAACCACTGAGTTAGATATAACAATGAGTTAAATAATCAGGCCAGGATCTGGGTGCTACATAACTAGGATAATTCTACCCAAGCCACAGGTTCACATGCTGAGCTTCCTCTCGCAGTAGATTTGTCTGCTGTGTCAGTGGGGGCCAGTCTATGCCTTTCATCATGTGTCCCTCAGGCATCTTTTAGTTTTCAGTCTTTTTGAATTTGTTTCAACTTTTCATCAGCTGATTTAGGAAGATGGAAATCTTCTTACTGCATGATTGGAACTCATTGACCCCTGCACTTTCTCATCTTGACTCTAATACTCCCCTTTGCTGTCTAGTTGGACTGTTGACCATAATTCTGTTATCAGCTTACTGCTAGGGCCTAAAGTCCTATTCTCTCTCATATAATAGTCAAGCATCCAAACACCACTACATTGTGTCTACTACATTGTGAAGCTGGATGACCATATATTAGAGAAGCTATAGAAGTAACTCCTTCATTAGGCAAGAAGTTGGACTAGACTAATGATCTCAAAGATTCTATATGCTGCTGTTCTTTCTCCTTCCAACCCTGAAAAACTGAAGATTGCTCTAGGGAATCACTGGAGATCAAGCTGTCAGTTCTCTTTCCTGATATCCATTCTCTTCTTTTCCCTTTGTAACAGAAACCCAGCTGTGTTAGATCCTTACTGTGTCAAAAGACAAAATTAAAAAGACAAAATTCCTTGGATCCTTTGCAACTAACTAGCGGTGGCCTCGTGATCTAATTCTGGCCAATGAAATGTAAACAGCAGGCCACAGGTGAGGGTTCTGGGAAAGTATTTTCCTTATGAAAAAAAGGACACACTTGGAAAATTTGTGTCTTCTTACTTTTTCCTTTCTGGGAGGTAGATGTACTACCTAGAGATGCGGTAGCCCCCACATGACCATGAAGAAAAAAGCCACATGCTGAAAACTGAGCCGAAAGCTAAAGGAGGCAGAGGTCTTGATGATCTCCTTGAATAAATGCATGAGGCCTAGTCTACATCCTTTTGGACTTCTCATTTCATGAGAGAAAGAGCCTTTCTTTAAGACACTGTAATTGAGTTTCTGTTACATGCAGGCTAAATGCACTCTTACATGTCTAATCCATTTACTACTTGTTAGCTGTGGCAGCTGATGCATTCTCATAGGACTTTAGCCTGTCATCTCAACACTTGAGTGTCCTGGAAGAGGTTAATACCATGGTACAGGGCAAAGAGTGGCTTCAGCATCTGCCAGAAGAATCCTGGCTCTGTACCACTGACTGTGTGACCTCGGGCAAGTTACTTAATCCCTTTGAGTTCAAGTCTTCTCATCCATTGAAATGAGACTAAGATTTAATATCCCCTGGGTTTTGTGAGGATTAAACGAGGGAACAAACAAAATCCCTAGCACAGTGCCTTGTGAGCCAAAATAGGTACTTGAAAAACGCAAGCTCCATCTCTTTCTTCCTGTTATGGAAGTAAGTTAGTTCCATTCTTGATATTTCAGACCTATCTCCTACCAGTTTGAAAATAAAAATTTTGGTATACTAAAATAGAGCTGGATTTTAGTATACTAATGCTTAGGCAAATATTTGTACAGTAGGTCAGATAGGGTGGGGTTGCCTGTGACAACTGGCAGGCTGTGCAGATGACAAAGGTGGTGTCCTGATGATCCGTGGAAACACTGAATGATGACCCTTCAAGGGTAGGATATTAATAAAAATAATGATAGTAGCTGATATCTCTTAAGCACCTATGAAGTGCTAGTCACTGTGGTAAGTGCTTTACCACATGTTTTATCTCATTTTTAACATTCAAGAACTATAAAGTAGCTGCTTTTATTTCCAGTTTATGGATAAAGAAATGGACGCTTAGAGAGGTTAAATAAGGCATCCAAAGTCACCCAGTGGTAGCGTTGGGTCTAGACTCCAGCTCCGTTCAACTCCACGGTCATATTTATAAGTACAACTGATTGATGAGACGTAAATCAGCGGGGAGCTGAAGTTGGTTGTTAGATCATATTACTGTATGTACAGTTCAGTTCAGCCACTCAGTTGAGTCGGACTCTCTGTGACCCGCCAGGCCTCCCTGTCTGTCACCAACTCCCAGTGCTTGCTCAAACTCATGTCCATTGAGTCGGTGATGCCATCCAACCATCTTATCCTCCATCATCCCCTTCTCCTCCTGCCCCCAACCCCTCCCATCATCAGGGTCTTTTCCAATGAGTCAACTCTTCGCATGAGGTGGCCAAAGTATTGGAATTTCAGCTTCAGCATCAGTCCTTCCAATGAATATTCAGGACTGATTTCCTTTAGGATGGATTGATTGGCTCTCCTTGCAGTCCAAGGGACTCTCAAGAGTCTTTTCCAACACCACAGTTCAAAAGCATCAATTCTTGGGCACTAAGCTTTCCTTATGGTCCAACACACATCCATATGTGACTATATGTACATCTCTTCTCAAATCTGTGTTCAGTGAAGTCACACTTGTAGCTAGAAATCAGTCATGGTGAATGTATTTACACCAATTTACACCAGAAATTGGTAAATGCTACAAATCAGGTCTCTCTTTGACTTCCCAGCCCTGAGAGCTGATTGTTATACACTTACCAGCACATGGCTGAATAGGATACAGCTGCTGTTTTAAAAAAAACTGTGACTGGGAAACAGTGAGTCTAGTGAAGGGCAGGTGTTAAAGCATGGAGGAAGTGAGGGCAGAGAGGCCTCTTGAACATTTGTCCTGAGTTGTTTACCAGTGAGATAGATTCCTGTGAATAGAACAATAGGAGAATGAATGATCCTTGGGGCTAAGGATAGGGAGTGAAGCTAGAGTGAGGGTCTGAAGATCTCAAACAAAAAGCATGCAATGTACTTTTCCCCACTTACTCCTTGATCCTCTTTTTTAGTCCCTTTTCTGTGCTGATCCTTTTTTCCTTTCAATAAATAAATTATTTATTAAGTTAGACTGTACTGGGTTTTTGTTGCTGTGTGCGGGCTTTCTCTAGTTGTGGTGAGCAAGCGGTACTCTTTGCTGTGGTGCGTGGTCTTCTCATTGCAGTGGCTTCTCTTGTTGTAGAGCATAGGCTCTAGGCAAGTGGATTCAGTAGTTGTGGTGCACTGGCTTAGTTACTGCATGGCACATGGAATCTTCCCGGACCAGGGATCGAACCTGTATCCCCTAACAGGTGGATTCATAATCACTGGACCACCAGGGAAGCCCTGTGCTGATACTGGTCATATAGAGACATAAATAAAATAGAATTCATTCTCCTGTGAAGCAAAAATATACACAGATAATTGCAATGTAATGTGAGAAAAAAATAATAAAAAGCTCTGCACCTCAATTCTTAGTGGGATGGGAATTTGTCAAAATTTCTGCAAGTAAGTTATTTTAGTGTTTCATGGATCTTTGAGATTCCTTTATTATGAATGGATTATGTTAAAAAAAATAAAGGCCCAAGTCATACAGATGTTGTGTTCTCAAGTCATAATGTAAAGGTGCACAGCTCTAGAGACCCAGGTACCCCATTAACATCTGTTTGTCCAGGTAAGTTGTTGAAGGTTTCCAACTTTAGCTCTTTGTGGAAGACTTTCTTCTCCCTTTCGGAAGCCTTCATGTTCTCTTCAGGTTGTCAATTAAGAAAGGATCTCCTATGTTATTCTTACTGTTTGTTGACAGACTGCATGCCTATCGCTACTATGTACCATTTCCATCACTGTTTTTTAAGGACACTTTTAGTCATTTAACTTCAACTTTTGAATAAAAGGATTTTTCTGCTGCTAAAGGGACTTCAGCAAACTGTAATAACCCATAATGGAAAAGAATATGAAAAATAATGTATATTTCAAGAATTTTGTGAGTTGTTATACACAGTTAATTATTAAAAACTTATGTATAACTAAATTGTATTAAAACAAAGATAATAAATATTCAAAGCTCCTTGCGTCCTACTTATTATACTACAGTATACCATTATTTATACTCTCAAACTTATTTATGTCTGTTATGTCCCTGTGGTGAAGAATTAGATAACAGTGCGCTACTAGTGCATCTCTTTTCAACTCAACTTTGTTCTCCATGTACCTGGATGTCACATTGGTAGCTTGAAATTGGGGATGGCTCTTTCTTGGAAATGT